GTTTCAATGTAATGACAGATATTCAGATATTAAAGTTGGATGGCCTCTCTTGCCACAGCACTGAGGCTCCTGACCATTAAAGTTCTGGTAAAGTTGTTGTTCTTTCAAAAACATCATCAGTAATTTTAATTTAATAAAATAAAAAAACAATGAAGTAATCTAAAATCTGTAACTGTTTCTAATCTGGCAAAGGACCCAACACATAAGGTAAGCTAATGTAAATTCTTGATTATTAAATCTCAAAGATTCATTCATTTTACCATGAGATGATTTATACAGATTCTTAGGGAATGCAAAACAGCTTAGAGGTACCGTGCTGACCTTTTACCTCCACCTCCTTGTCTGTTAAGACCTATTATGGGTCTAGGGAGACAGGGTGAGTCCATATTTTCCGGTGTATAAGGCGACTTTTGAAACAAAAAAAAGTCAACTGAAAATCGGGGGCAAAAGACCAAAATTGCACAAAAATTACCTGCAGATCTTGACGGCAAAGTAAGTCTTTTCTTTGAAGTGGGGGGTAGTCTTATACAGCGAATATAGGCCTAAACCTATGTTTTAACTGTAAAAATTAGGGGGTCGTCTTATATGCCGGAAAATACGGTATGCAAGTAACAAATGCTCTGAACCATCTAGACCAGTGTAGCTGTCAGGGTTATAGGCAGAAATAAGCCCCCCAGGATCTATCCAAAAAAGGATCTGAATTTCTTTATCAGTCCTGGGACTATCTAAAGCTCCCTAATAGGCTGTAGGCATTTTGGGGTGATTTTGGACCAGAACAAAGTTCTCTGGGCCAGCCAGACCCAAATCTCCACCATCAAGCTTCTTTCTGAGACCTGGGAATATGAACCTCAACACTGGTCAGCTTTTGTCTCCTCAAGGACAGATCCAGGGCTTCAATCATCCTGGGGCTTTAAGTTCACCAACAGTTTAGAGCCATCTACTCTACTGCTTACTGCACTGCCCCAGTAGGAAACACTAACTCAAAGCAGCTTTACATGCAAGATTGTAGAACCAAGGTAGAAAACAAAGAAAAAACTTCTGATATCAATATGTATGTAAAGCAGCAACATTTCAAAACTATGCATTACTTCAGAAATATATTTTCAGAATGAAGACAAAAATCAAATTGCCCTTTTCATATGAGCTCACACTCAAAAGCAAATGAATGGTAAAGCTAAAATTCTATTTATTTTAAAGGATGCCAACGTTAGATTAACTTTTTTTTTAAATTTAAAATGTCAAATAAAAAATGGTGTCTTGGGGAAAAAAGGAAACATTAAGTAGAACTAGATAAAGGCTTAAAACTATAGTAACAATACAAGCTTAAAATTTTTAAATATTATTTTTTATATCTGGCTTCTTGCAAATTTGGCTAAAACACCCTCTCCCTTAAATCATCCTGTATTTACCAACATTTCTGTTTTTTTGCTGGATCACAAGCTAGTAACTTTTCAGAAGTGAAGTAGAGGTTATTAAACCGGAATCTTCCTTTGGCACTCACTCTCTGACATATTCCACTAAATAAGATTTATTTATGTTGATAGATACCCCGTTTAAAAACAAATTCATCTTGGAAAGGTTAATTCTGCATTACCTTTCAATTAAGCCTCAAGGAAGAGAGAGAGGGATGAACAGATAAAGGAAAGAAGGGAAGAAGAGAGAGGGGAAGAAATAATTTGAGAAACAAAGGCTATGTAGGACTATCGGGAGAGGACAGAAGAGGATGAGGGAGCCAGGCCTCACATGAGGTAGGGTAGGAAACAACCAGAAAGACAGACCTTAGTACATAAAATGGGGACAAAAAGCCTTCACTGGAGACACTGGGGATTATGTACAGTCCAGGCAATAAAAGCCACACAGGTTACACCAGTGCCACAGAAAGACACTAAATTCAATAATTTATAGGGGATAGCAAAGTAATACTATGGGTGATAAAATTATCAATAAATCAGAACTGGTATGCAGAATGCATGAAACAAAGTTTACTCAAAGATTTAAAGAACTCCACTCTGAACAGTTTACTGAAGATTCAACATTAAAAAAAAAAAAAAAAAAAAAGGTTTTTGCCAGGTTTTCAATGAGGATCTCACCCAAGGACCACATTCAGGTGGGAGAAATTATTATAAAAGCCACGTTTATCAGTATTTAAAGCATGTGACCCAAAGTATACTCTGAGCTCTAATTTAAAGTCCAATGTAAGGTGTTGGTTTTGTGTGTGTGTGTGTGTGTTTTTTGTCGAATCCTCAGAGCTGTTACTTATTGGTCTTTTTGCTCTGTCTTAGCCATAATATAAGGCAGAAAGGAGATTCTTTAAAATGAAAAGTCTCCTGCCAAACTGCTTTGCTACAAACCAGCAAACATCTTTCCTAAACCACTGAACTTTGCTCCACTTCTATCCTTCACTCAATAGAGAAGCCATCAGCTACTATACATGCATCAAATGCTAGGAGCTGAAGATTAAAAAAAAAAAAAATGAACAAAACAGAATCCCTGTCTTTGCGGCAATCATAGTCATGTGGCAGAAAGAGACATGAACAGATAGTACCTGATTAAGTTTTACAGTAGGAGATGAACAGGGTATAACACAAACAAAGTGGTAAAAGCCAAAGTCTGCCTGGAGGACTATGTTAAGCCTGTTCAGGAGAATCTGACATTTAAATTCATCCGCAATGAGGCAGGCTAGTCAATCTGTAAGGCCTTTTCTATTAAAAAAAAAAAAAAGGGGGGGGGGGTGGAACAAAAAAAGGGGGGTCACGGAAATCTTTTTTGTTAAAAATGCCTGGTACAGCACTAGCTGGTTTGGCTCAGTGGATAGAGCATCAGCCCTCGGACTGAAGGATGGGACTCTATTCCAGTCAAGGGCACATACCTCCCTTGCAGGTTCTATCCCTGGCCCTCCTTGAGGCTTATGCAAGAGGCAATCAGTCAATGTGTCTCTTTCACATCGCTGTTTCTGTGTCTCCACCCCTCCCTTCCACTTGCTCTAAGAATCAATGGAGCCCAGATGGCATGGCACAGTGGTTGCGGATCAATCTATGAACCAGGAGATCAGAGTTCCATTCCCGATCAAGTCACATGCCTGGGTTGTGGGCTCGACCACCTGAAGGGGGCGTGTAGGAGGCAACCGATCAATGATTCTCTCTCATTATTGATGTTTCTATCTCTTTCTTTCTCTCCCTTCCTCTCTGAAATATATATATATATATATATATATATATATATATATATATATATATAATTTTATTTTATTTATTTATTTATTTATTTTTAATATTTTAATTGCCAAAACCAGTTTGGCTCAGTGGATAGAGCGTCAGCCTGTGGACTGACGAGTCCCGGGTTCGATTCTGGTCAAGGGCATGTACATTGGTTGTGGGCACATCCCCAGTGGGGGGTGTGCAGGAGGCAGCTGGTCGATGATTCTCTCTCATCGACGTTTCTAACTCTCTATCCCTCTCCTTTCCTCTCTGTAAAAAAAAATAATAAATCAATAAAATATGTATAAAAATTTTTTTTAATCAATGGAAAAATATCCTTGGTGAGGATGAACAATAACAACAAAGTGACTGGTTCTGATAATCCCAGTTTATTGGTTATTAACCTAATATCTATCAAAAAGAGAATATTTGTAAAATCTTCCCTTTCTCTCCCATACTTGTCCTCTTCCTATATTCATTCTCTCAGTAAATACTAATATCACCTAAAAATTAACCTTCTATAGCAAACTAATCACCAATTTCTATTGCATATACTCTAAACTATCTCTTTATTCTGTCTACTTCTTTCTCCAATGGCCCCCATCATCTCTTACCAAGGAGGTTTCCAACCGCCTCCAAAAGAGTGTTCTTGTCTCTGAGATCCCTTCTGCTAATCAACCAATTCTTCACACTGCAGCCAAAGTGATCTTTCCAAAACACAAAGTGGATTGTATGACAACCCATCTTCAAATCATTCCAGCTGCCCCCTATTGCTCTCAGAAAAAGCTCAAACTCTTCAGCATAGCAGTCAACCTCTGGCCTAGCTTGTCTTATGCAACAATCTTTCATACTCATATTGAAAACTTTGGTTCCTTCAATATACAATGCTCACTCACTATCCACTAGCTTTCCAAGACTCCCTCAAAAAAGAATCAGGGGACCCTCCAAAGTAATATTTCAGCACCCCCTACTTCTCTATAACCATACTCACCATACTACATAGGGTTTTAATTACCTGTTTGTCTCCCCAGGAGGTTGTAAGTTCCTCAAGGAGAGAAACTATCTTATGCATTCTTATATTTTCTATGTGAAGCATTATGTCTGCCTGACAGACATATATAGTTCATGCTTAATAAAGATTTGCTGAATGCATGAAAAAATGAAAACTACAAAGAAAGAGAAATTCAATGGTGTACAAATTTTCATAATATGTATTAGTTACACTACTGAAACCTAATACTTTAGCAAGACCATATTCAAGCCATGAACCTATCACAATAGACCTGTTTTCAGAGACAGAAACAAAGGCTATACCATAAACTCAAAATTGAAACGAACTTAAAAATGTATTTCCAGTTTGGATAGTATAAGCTTACTATTTCAGGCATTTATTTATTTACTTATTTATTTAGGAGAAAATACATATATAGCAGAATCATGATACTCTGTACATTTTAAAACTATATATATAACTACAGCCCTGGCTGGTGTGGCTTAGTTGATTAGGTGTCATCCTGGGCACCAAAAAGGTGCAAGTTTGATTCCTGGTCAGGGCACATGCGTGGGTGGCAGCCTCAATCCCAGGTAGGGGATGTGCAGGAGGCAGCTGATAGATGTTCTGTTCTCACATCAATGCTTCTCTCTCCCTTCCTCTCTCTCTAAAAATCAATGAAAATATTAAATATATATATTATATATACATATATATATAATTACATATGCATTATTACATAATTTTCACAGGTAAGATGTTGAGTTTGGTTTTTATACATAAATGAAAACTGCACCTCATTACTGACTCACCGATTCTTTTCCAGCTCATTGTGTGTAGACCTAAGAGGAAAAGAAAAAAAGAGCATTAGCCATGTTTTGTTGCTAAGGTTTTAGAAAGGAGGGATTAGTTTAGTTACTGCTGTATCGCATTCAGTGGATTTATTTAATAATGCAATATATGATCAGACTTCCATAATCTCACTCATCAAGAAGAAATAGACTGTTCACTCAGATATAGTATTTTCAGTTAATAACTAAATATTCTAAAACTGGAGTTTCATTGTTATTTTAATAAAATTAATACTAGCACATGTTCTTTTCCTATTTCTGCTACCCCACAATTTGTTGATTTGCAGACATTATATCAGAAATTTTAATTCACATATTTTTGTTTAAAATGAGGGGGGGGGGTGTATGTATTTCTATGTCTTCTTCCATCTCCATTTACTCCTAAACATAGGCAGAAAAGGTTTTGGCAGCAGAGAAGCTGAAACAGCCTTGCCTTACTGCTAAGTGACACAGACAAATTCATGCCTTCCTGCCTTTTGTGTAAAATATAAACAAGGAAATGTTATAAGAGAGAAAAATAACATAAGCAGAAGATATAATAATAACATAAGGGAACCCATTTTTAAGAGACTGCGAGGATATACCTAAAAATGCTAACAATGGTTGCTTTCTATTCGTGACTTTTTTCATTTTGCTTATCAGTATTTGTTATAATACCATCTATTGTATTAATACTGAAGAAGCATAGTATCTGCTAAAGAATGTGCTAAGCAGTTAACATACACTATCTCATTTTATCCCCCAAATAGCCCTTGTTTTATAAACAAGATTACTAAGGTCAAGAGAGATGCTCTTGTCCCAAGAGTGTCAGTGGTAGCCATGACTTAAGCCCAGGTCTTTCTTACTCCAAACCTCAAGTTCTTAACCACCTGGTGACAAGGAATACTGAAGGGCACAGATTCTACGGCCGGACTGCCTGGCTTCAAATACTGTGTGGCCAACAAATACTGAGTATCTTAAGCCTTCAAAGCTGTCTTAGGCTGTTCAGACAGATTCTAACCTATCTGATTAACAGTTTCCTCATTTGTAAAACTGAAATGTTAACTACTGCAAATATTCTTATTATCTACACTAATAAAAGAGTAACATGCTAATTGACCATGCTTTCGCAACGCCTGCCAGCCAATCAGGAGTGAGTATGCAAAATAACCCAACAAAGATGATGGGTTAATTTGCATACAAGGCACCGAGTGGTCGGGGGGCGGGGTAGAATGCTTGTGTTCCACATCACCCAGCTGCTCCAGGCCTCTGGGCAGCGTGGGAAGATGGAAAGGCACCTTCGACCAGAGCAAAGGCAGTGCTGGCAGCCAGGGGAAGGAAGGCCAATTCTTGCAGAAATCTTTGTGCATCGGGCCTCTAGTTTTTAACATGTATTATTAAGTATTATGTATACTACATGGGACAAATTGTCAGGTTCCCAGTAAAACCCAGAATTAATTTGAAAATAAACAAACCACCATAATGATGAAAAAAGAAACTGAAAGAAGAGATTGGTATTTTCGTTATTTAGTCAGCTGTGAGGACAGTACAAGATTTAGGTATGACAGAGAGGAAGATGCCTAACTATATGTACACAGAGAAAATACTGACCTAAATAATGCTAGCAACAAATGAGTAATTGACTTATCACATACTGCCACACTCAGAAACAACCTCTTTGCTCTTCTGAGCCTGTGGGTCCAACCAAGCCCTTCCAATAAGGTGCCACTGAAATATCCAATTATGATAAATTCTCTATAAGGTTGAGATGAACTGAATAATCCATCTGGTTAACCCACTCTTCTTCTCCAACTAAAATGCCCCTCTGAGAGCAAACACCAATGAACTGTCTTTCTTCCAGACATCCTTACTCGGAATGCTTGGCTTCCAAGGACAGAGAGAATGACATTTCTATCATTTTACCACTGAATTACAGGCAATCTTTTTCACAAATAACATCCCCATAAGACAGACATGTTAATACATTCCCTATTTAACTGGGAGTTATTATCTCAACCAGATCTGTGACTTTTCATTGACTGCTACCCAGCTCTAATACACAAACTTTTAATTCTTTAGGGGGCAGTCTGGTGGCAGACAATAAGATGAAGCACAGAACTGAAACCGCACAAAACTGTAAGAGTAGTGCCACTGTGGGAGGAAAATAAAAGCCCCCATTCTCAGAATTAATATTCGCTTCTTGTAAAAGAAAATACCTCTATATTTGTTGAATCAATGCGCCAACTCCCAATTTACTAACGTATTTCTTTCACTTACTTTCTAATCCTAAAGTGCTTAATGGATATTGCCCTCCACACAATGAAAAGAACATATTCTATAAAGCTAAACGAGTATCTCTTAACTGTATCCTAAAGCTTATACTTCACATATGAAGTACACTACATATATATGAAGTGTCCTAGTATACACACACACACACACACACATTCAAAGGGCAAGAAAAACAGAAAACTTTAGAGAAAGGGTCTGCAAAGTATACACCTGAAGGAGGTGAAAAAGAATTAGTGGAATAATAAAATTGCTATTTATATTTCTTCTTCTTAAGCTTTATCTTATATTTATAAAACATTAGTACAATAATACAAGTATACAATTATAAATACATTCTCATATAGTGGGAATATAAAATCTTTTTTTTTTTTTTAATATTGTAGACTTTTAGGGAAAAAATTCACCATAAGAAATGTATTACTTTCTTTAACAATGACAAAAACACATCACCATAATAACTAAGACCATAAAAAAAGCAAATGCCTAAAAGGATGCATAACAAAAACTACAATAAAATTTTGCTTAAATCTTACATATCAAAGCTGCATATATACACACCTTATGACTAAACATTTCCACTTATAGGAATACACCAAATTAATATATGTTCACCAAAGGATATACAAAAGAATGCTCATTCTTTTCACTGGCCCCAAACTGAAACAACTCAATTATCTGTCAAAAGTAGAATGAATGAATAAGCTGTAAAATATTCATGTACTGTAATATTGCATAGAAAGGTGAGAATGAACAACTATTATGCAATAACATGAAAGAATATTCATACTTTCAACAAAATGTTGGGTGAAAGAAGGCAAATACACAAAAATACATACTGTGTAACTCCATTCATAAAAAGTTCAAAACTGGCAAAATTAACTTATGGCCTCAAAAATCAGGGAGGGGGGTGATAGTTGCTGGAAAGAGGTAAGATAATGACTTCTAAGAAGAGTCTGTAATATTTTATGTCTTCACCTTTGTGAAAACTCATCAAGCTGTACTCGTAAGATTTGTACATTTTTCTATACATACATATTCAATAAACAGGGGAAAAATACATATAAACTGAATTCTGTAAAAAATCAATTCATTTTCAATTATACCAAACACCTTAATTTAAGTCTTTGATAAATCCTTTGGCGTACCGCATAAATATTCCTAAGTTATGCACTTTGTAAAACACAATTTTAAAAATAAATTTATAAATACGAAAATCATACAGAGTCCGTTTTCTAAGCACAATGGAATTAAATTAGAAATCAGTAACAGTAACATAACTATTGGTAGGGAAAAAAAAAATCACTACTTGGAAGATGTGTCACAAATCAAAGAATGAACTGCACTGCAGAGAAATTAGAAAATATCCTGAACTGAAAACTAATGAAAGCGCAACCTATCAAATACGTTGGATGTAGCTAAAGCAGTGTCTAGAGAAGTATGTTTAGCTTTAAATCCTTATGTTGCTGCTGGAGGAGCCCAGAATCAATGATCTAAGATCCCATCTTTAGAAGCTAGAAAAAGAAAAACACTGAACCAAAAGAAGTCAAGCAATGGTTCTCAACTGTGAGCTGTTTTGTCCACCAGGAGACATTTGATTATATAGAGAGACATTTTTGATCATCCCAACTAGGTAAACGTTCCTAAGGAGAGGCCAGGGATACTTTAAACAACCTATGATGCTCAAAACAGACTTATCTGGCCCAAAATAGCGCTGAAAACAAAAATCTCTGAAGGAAGGGAAAGAAATAAAAATGCCAAGGAGTAAACAAAACAGAAAACAGAAACAATATCAATAAACATGAAAGCTGACTTTAAAAAATCAGCAAAACTGATAAACTTCTTCGAAGACTGATGAAGAAAATAAAGACGAAAATTACTAATATGTACAAATAAGAGTGAAAGAGGGCCTATCACTACAGCTCCTACATACATTAAAAGGAAGATAAGAGAATATTATGAACAATTTTAATGCCAATAAATTCAACAACTTAGAGGAAATGAACAAATTCTTAACAGCACATGCTATTAAAACTGACTCAAGAAGAATTAAAAACCCTGCATAGATTTGCATTTATTAAAAAAATTAAATTTGTAATAAAAAAAAGAACACTTTCCCACAAAGAAAACTCTAGGCCAGAAATCATCATTAGTAAAATTTACCAAGCATTTAAGGAATAAATAATACCAATCTTAAATAAAACCTATCCGAAAATAAAGAGAGAGGGAACATTTCCCAGCTCATTTTGAGGACAATATTACTACCCTGATTCCAAAACCTGACTAAGAAACTACACTGGGATAACAAATAAAACTACTGTCCCTCGTGAACATAGACATAAAAATTAAGAAAATATTAGCAAATAGAACCCAACACTGTATGGGAAGTATCAGTTTAACATGAATAATTTTTCTTGTCTTTGTCCCAACTTCCTGAGACAGAGCTTCTAAAACCTTACAATTTCCCATATTATAGCAATGTCTCCATTATTCATGGTGGGCCCTGGGATTACACTTGAGTTTATGCTAAGGAGATGACTCACATTGGAGGCTGACCATGCCAGAAAGACCAGCCATGTGATTAGAGGTTTAGAGCCAGTTTAACATACATATTACTTTACATATTACTTTAGTACAAACATGTTACATATACTACTTTTTTAAATGTTAAGTGGATTTAAGATAAATATACCTGGCTTGCTTTCTAATGTTAGTAACGCCAG